AGGGTTTAGGGTTAAGGGGGGGTTTGGGGCTTAGGGTTTAGGGTTTAGGGGTGGGGTTTAGGGCTTAGGGTTTAGGGGGGGTTTGGGGCTTACCATGGGGATTAAAGGGGATAGTAGGTAGGCTTTCTAGGTCGAAAGAGCTCCTAAGCAGTGGATCTATCACTGCGCCACACATCGTTAGGGTTCAGAATTAGGAAAGATTGGCGTCAATTAAGTGGAGGATTTTGACAGTGCTCCGCGTCTGAGAAGTCCACTGGAAGCAGGGAAAGCATACCCCTGAACTGTGGCTACATGTTCAGTTCTTGTCTCACATGATAGCCCAATGTGGAGAAACACTGAGCATGTCAAAAGAGCTCTCAAGCAACCTCCAAACCTGAACACTCCCAACCCCAAAGCCGACGTCCCTAAACCCTAAACCCTAAACCTGTGTTTTGCATCCGGGGGGTTCATAGGGGGTTAGGGAATATATGTATATATCTCTCGCTGTTTCTTATCTATTGAAAGGGTTTACTGTAGTGTCTCGGGGTAGTAGGGAGTAAGAGAGCACATTGTAATAGGATTGTGTAGGGATCATGTTCCCTGTTTCCCTACGAACCACCAGTAAGAAGCAGCTGATGGCAGACCTGATGGAAGGACACGGATCTTTTCCTGGGCTCAGGCAATCTTCTTGCAAATATGATAGTAAGAATAGTCATTGTAGCGAATATAGCATTAGTAATAGTAGTAATAGTAAGAGCAATAGTAATAATACTACTAGCAGTAATATTGGTAATCCTAGTAATAATAATCCTAAACCCTAAACCCTAAACCGCGTGGCTCATGTCTTAGATGAACAGAAGTCTGAACCCAGCTTCCGGCCCGAAATTGGGTGGAACCAGCCGAGGCTTCAGGATGAGCTCAGAGTGGGTTTAGGGTTTAGGGTTTAGGGTTACCACTATTATGTTTTAGGGTTTAGGGTTTAGGGTGAGGGTTTAAGGATAGTAATTACCAAACCGGATAATGGAAAATCAAATGGAAACTACTACTTAGGGTTTAGGGTTTAGGGGCCTATACAATTACCAATATTAGGGTTTAGGGCTTAGGGTTTAAAGGATAGTAACTACCAATGTGAATCATGGAAAATAAATATGTAAACTACTATTTAGGGTTTAGGGTTTAGGGGCCGAAATAATGACCAATATTATGGTTCCATATCCAATAACATGGTGCCATATTCCTTGTATAGTTGCAGTATATGCCCTAAACCCTAAACCCTAAACCCTAAACTATGGTACCTGAAATTGGACCTCGACATGATATCGGTAATTACTTGGGCCCCTGTAGCATTCAACATCGGAATCCCTGCCACGCATCCCCGGTTCTTCATTCCTTGCTTCCAGGGAACGTGGAAGATGGTGAAATGCTACGATTCAATAATATAAACAGAATATAAACTATAGAAACCCAATATAGACCCAATATAAACCCAATATGACCCTAATATAACCCTAATATAAAACCAATATAAACCCAATTGATTCAAGCATGGTACCGTAATCTACCCCATGCATACAAGATTGGATTAAACTCGTCAGTCACTCGGGTGCAGGATTTACATGTGAGGCTTCGCGTGTAATTGCGCGTCGGAATCTCCTCCGGCCTCTGAAGCCTAGCACGCAAATTGCACACAACAAGCAGGTGCTAATAGACTCCAGAAGAAGCCAGCCAGACGATCTCAAGGCCATGTGCGCCGAAACCTTGAAACCTCCAACACAGCTAACTGAGCTGCGGCTTGCGCCCCACTACGAAACCCTTAGCCCTAACCCCTGGACCCTAAATCCTAAGCCCTAAATCCGGAACCCTAAACCCTGAATCCCACACCGTAAATCCTAAACCCTAAACCCTAAAACCTATCTGACTGTAAGACTTTTGCGGCAGCAGGGGAAGCCATGCTCTGCCGTCAGCCATTGGATAAATGGCGGTTTCCCTAGATAGGGCGACCCAATATGGACCCGAAATACCATAGTCCTTATTTATGGGGACCCCAAACAGGCATCCTCATTTTGGGAAACTCCCAAATGTCCCCAAGCCTGACTGCAAAAATTCTGTTTCCTCTGAAATCCACCTTTTGGGGTTTAGGGTTTGAGGTTTAGGGTTTGGGGTCTAGGGTGTCTAGAATTTAAAATTTCCTGGAGAACTCAAGTCCGTGGAAGCCAAAATACCGCTGAGCCCCAAGCCCTGGACCTCATGCCCCCGACAAGCGTCGAACCACACAGCTTACGCCTTATCCCTAGAGCAGCTGGGATTCTCTTTGTTTCGGCTGCGCTGCCGAAAGTTCGAGAAGGCAGGGTGTGGCAGTGTCCTTCCGTGACAAGCTCCATGAAGCCGCCAGTAGCAATAGTAATAATAGTATTAACAAGAATAACAATAATAGTAATAGTAACAAGAGTAATAGTGACAACAGTAATAACAATAGTATCAATAGTAGTAATATAGTAACAATAGTAGTAATAATAACAACAGTAATGGTGATAACAGTAATAACAACAGTAATAATCAGAATTGCGCAGTTCAAGGCTCCCCTAACTTTAACTGAAGAGATCAAAAGTGCGATTCTTAGGAGTTTCAGCGTGATGGATGAGAGGTAATTCAGATTCTCTTGGAAGCCAGTTCCGTGTCACGATTCTGCAGGAGAGCGTTGAGCATTTCAGCAACATGCATGAAATCCTGAGACAGGGTAATTTAGAATAATTTCAATTCCAAATTTAAGGCCACTTTGGTACTATTCTCTATATAAACCACCATTTAGGGTGAGGTCGTGTGAGGCTTTAGATTGCCCAGTTTAAGGTCTTCATTGCTTAGAGCTTTGGAGCAACCTCATAGGCTGGTGGTTCGCAGGAAATAAAGGAATACAATCCCTATATAAACCCCATGTCATGTAATGTTTTCCTACCAATCCCATTAAGTTACGACAGCTTCCCAAAATGATCTCATCCAGATTAACGCACAGGTTTGAATGTTCAAAAGCTGCAGGCCTTAGATTGAGCTAGCATGAGAGTGCCCCTTGTTGGGAGAACCTCCCCAAACTTTACGAACGTTTCAATCCTGAGACATATACTTTGTGGCATCTGTCCTGTGTCCTGCACAACGCAGAGGATTCAGAAAAACAACTGCGGCCCTAGTACAATAGCTAGAGCTTTTGGGCCCCTATATTCCACATGGTCTGACCTTTGCGCTTTATGCGTGGGATCATAAGCTGTGCCTTTAATGTCAAGGAAAGTGCGGCCTTACCACCCCTATGAAATTCCCAATCCCCAAACCCTACTCCCGAAACCCAAAACCCTAATCCCTAAACCCTATACAACCCCCATACACCCCCAATTCTTTTTATCAAAAGCCGACCGAGCCAATGAGCTACTGGCTAAACTCCTAGTATCCCCCTTAATAACCTTTATAATAATCCCCTATATAATCCCCTATATAACCTCCCTTTAAGGAGTTTAGACTATGGCTCAATGATGAACGCCCATGCGGGTCCGATGTCGCGGCTGGTTCTCCTCAGGATCCAGGGGCTCCGCAGGCTCCGGAGGCTCCTCCGGAGGTTTTATCGCTAGGATCAGGGTTTTAGGGTTTAGGGTTTAAGGTGTAGGGTTTAGGGTTTAAGGGTTTAGGTTTAGGGTTTAAGGCTGTAGGGTTTAGGGTTTAAGGGTTTAGGTTTAGGGTTTAAGGTGTAGGGTTTAGGGTTTAAGGGTTAAGGGTTTAGGGTTTAGCGTTTAAGGCTGTAGGGTTTAAGGTGTAGGGTTCAGGGTTTAGGGTTTAAGCTGTAGGGTTCAAGGTGTAGGGTTTAAGGTGTAGGGTTTACGGTATAAGACTGCAGGGTTTAGGGTTTAAGGTGTAGGGTTTACGGTATAAGACTGCAGGGTTTAGGGTTTAAGGTGTCGGGTTAAGCGCTTAACGTGTAGGGTTTAGAGTTTAAGGTGTGGGGTCTAGGGTTTAAGGTGTAGAGTTTGTTTAGGATTCCGGCTTTTGGTTTGGGGAAAAGGGTTTGGGTTTCGGGGTGCGGCTTCATCGATGGATGTGCCCCTAAGGATTGCTCAAAGGAGATTTCAGCTCGCACAGGCTGCGTGGAAGAAGGTGCATAAGGATCACGCCTGCTTGGAAGTTTGTCTTACTGGTGGCAAATTGATAGGGAATATATCCCGAGGAAAACTCCCTTATTCCCTACTAACCACGAGTAGGTTCCAAAGATTTCTGGGAATGGAAGAAACACATCGAACAGGTTGCGCAGGTTTCAGAATGTCAGAATAGGTTTTAGAACCGGGTATGGTTTGTGAGATTGCTTAGTGGCGTGTAACAAAGCTTCTGAGATTTCATCTCATTCTGAGGAAAAGATAATGGAAGTCAGAATTCTGCAGGGTAGAAGCATCAAAGCAAGCAAACACAAAACCTGTTCAGGAACTTGACCATTTTGTGAGCACCATCACTCGATGGAGGACTCCAGTTCTTTGGCACCGCTTCGTGGTAACACGCTCTTCTTCTAACCCCTAGAAATGCTGGGACCCCACTATAGACCCCAATACACTATTCATTGTGACCCCCCACAGCTGCATCGGAAAAGCGTATCTGCCAACCCTGGACGCAAGACCTATTGATGCTTAAGGGCGAGTGGGGGAGAAGAGATAGGTACCATCATGCGGACATGCATGGGGCCTATATGGGTATTGAACTTAAGTTAAGTTATATGATGGGTATGTAGCAAATCATAGGGTTTCCTTATTATAGTAACTTAATTTACGGTAAATCACACTGTTCCCTTCTGATAGTAGCTTTTTTTCAGTTCCTTAAGAGCGACCAAGAAAAACAAACCAGCAAACCCTGGGCCCCCTGCCATTTTGACTCGAGCAGAATTCGCATCTTGCTATAATCACTTACCACCCAACTAGGCATACGCCGAAGCACTTTCTCCAAAGGTAAGTGCTAATTAGAAAGAATTAGAGAGTTTGATGTTGGCCTAAGTGCCTCTCTACGTAGCTTCATGATCACAGAAAGCAAAAACGTAGTATACTGCCTGCATAACCGCTACGTATTCCTGTGCCCTAAGCCCCAAGCCCCCTTCCCTAAACCCTAAATCCTGAATCCTAAACCCCTAAGACCTGTAGGCCTCTCGAAAATCTTTTCGTATTCTCACCCTCACGTCCCCCAAACTTCGGTCCGCTGTTAGGGAACTTAAGTTACCGTTGTGGGGCCACCATGTTCTTATACATTTAACATGCAGACTATGGTAACCTAACCCTAAACCCTGCGTAATCCCTACGAAATCTGCTCGGAGGGAACCTTTTCTTAGTAAACCATTTTAGGTTCCTTAAAAGCAGCCCAGGCTTTGGGTCTGGCGCCTCCAGCGGTGTCTGGGGTTGTGGGATGGTTTCCCCGTAGGCCTTCACATACAGGGAGAAGGCTTCGGGGTTGTGGGCAAAGTGCTCAGGGAAGAGGGCACAACGGAAAGGGCTTAGGGTTCAGGGTTTGGGCTTAGGGTTCAGGATTTGTGGTCTAGATATTCAGATTCAGGGTGTAAGGCTAAGAAACACTGTTTGAACGAATCTCAGGAACATGGAAGGCATCTACCAGGAATATAAACTATCGTGTCGGCATCTAGTAGGATTACTGCACAGCATACAGTAAGGAGAGAAGAAACAAACAAAGTGCAGGGAAGCACCTTTTATTTGAGACTCCTTGGTTAAGATTAGAGAATTAATGCAGTGATACTCATCCGGCATCTAAAAAGCGAAATCCGCATGATCGTAAGAATACCAAGAACAAGAAGAAGAACAGCAACCCTGCCACTGAAAACATAAGAATACTACTGCAACAGATGGCTTCTTTACAAGAGTATAGTACTCCTAGCGTTACATTTAGTGTAACGTCATAAGCCCAACCGAAATCGGGGGTGGGGGAAACACATTTCACCCGAAACCCAACCAAACCTCACTTTGAACCCCAAACCGTAAAACCCTCATCCTACACCCTAAATGGGGTTTAGGGTTTAGGGTTTCCAAATAGGGGGACCCCAATGTAGACCCCAACTTACTACATGCCTTACTACGGGGACCCCCCAAAAAGGTACCCCTAATTTTGGGAAACTACCAAATCATCCCAGTTTCCGTGTCATGTTCCATTGTCTTTGCCATTTGGTTCTCCATTATTGGGGGTCAACCTTAACTAGGTACCCCAGTAAACCCTAAATAATAAGGGCACCCTTTTTCCTACTGTTCTGTTCTAATAAGGAGACCCCCAAATAAAAAGGGTAAAAGGGTACTACTGGGGTACCTAGTTAAACCAAACCCCAAATTCCAGAACCCCGAGTTCAGGACGCCCAAACACTGCTTAAGGTTTAGGATTTAGGGACTTAGGGTTTAAGGTTTAGGGTCTAGGGATTTGGGGTTTTGGGTTAGGGATTTAGGGTTTAAAGCTTAGGGATTTAGGGTTTAAGGTTTAGGGTCTAGGGATTTGGGGTTTAGGGTTTAGGGGGTAGGGTTGAAGGTGGAGGGATTGAGGGTTTAAGGTTGAGGGTCCAGGGATTTGGGGTGAGGGGTTAGGGGTTTAGGGTTTAAGGTTTTGGGATTTGTGGTTTATGGTTTAGGGATTTAGGGATTAGGGTTTGCTACAATTGCTTAGGGTTCGGTGGCTTTTTTTCATTTTCAAGCTACAAATCTTCAAGCGAAGGAAATTGGAGCCCCAAGCAATGGAATGTTTATATGGGCTTGAGTGTTTAGGGATTAAGGCTTAAGGCTTAGGATTTAGGGTGTAGTTAGTTCGGGTTCATGGTTTAAATAGGGTTTTGGGATCAGGGTTGAGGGTTTAGGGTTCAGGGACCCTAAGCCCTAATCCCTGATGAACCCTAAACTCTACACCTCAAACCCGAATCCCAAAACCCTAATCCCAAAGCCCTAAACCCTAAATCCAAAACACTGAACCCTAAACCCTAAACCCGGAACCCGAAATCCTAAACACTAAACCCTACATAGTAGTTTAGATTCTCTTTTCCATTGTCCCTATATATCCCCTATATAACCCCTAATAGAATCCTAAACACTACTCGCTACATATTAGTTTCCATTTTCTTTTCCATTCTTCCTTTATATCCCCTATATAACCCCTAATAGAATCCTAAACCCTAAACCC